ATGTTCTGTAACTCTGAGACAGCTGTGGGACTCAGTCTGTCTTACATTTTAAACAAGTCAGTGACAGAGTTCATTCACCATAAGATGTACTTGTAGCACTCTGGTGATGGCAACCACTAGACTCTTCTAGAATTCGACCAACGGTTTTGAAAGTAAGACTGTCTCTCCCCTGTACCCAAGTGGTGGTGATTTAAAAAAGAAAGAAAGAAAGAAAAAAATCGATTCAACTTGATTTACCTTCTCAATTTTGAATTTGTTTGATCTTGAAATGAAAATTAGCTTAAATTCCCCAAGCCCAAGAGTATGTGGGACAAGACACACTGCAGACACAGACAGTTCCCTGATCCTTTCTCAGGGTAAGTGCCACTTGTTCCTTCACAGGTTCCAACTGAGACATTCGTTTAAATTCTGGAAAAGCCATTAAAGCTTGGGATTGGGTTTTTCATTGTTGTTCCTGTTTTACTTTGAAAAAGAAACTGTTTTTTTTCTTCCTGTAATGAAGGAATTATATATCCCCAGTACTGAAATCACATTAAAAACAGAGCAAGCCTAAAGGAATAAGATAAAACAAAAATCCATTTAATAACTAACAAGCCTCTGATATTTCTGTTACCTCAAGAATATGACATGTGGTACAGAATTGTCCCTTTTCTTGCTGATGGCTGAAGCATGCTTAGAATTTTTCTTGGTCAAAGAAAATAGATCCTAAACCACAGTTAACTTTATCAGCCATTTTCTCTGAAATTATTACATCAGAATAAAATTTAGAAGTCTGAGAAAACTCACTGGGTAAAATTCCATTATCTTTCAATATAGCAAATTCTTTTCTTTCAAATTTTTAATGTATTTTAATTTTGCTGGGTTAATAACAGTATGATACATACATATATAGATACATGCATGAACTTATATATGTATATACTTTTTTTTCCAAGCAAGCACTTCTCTCTGGTCTGACTTTATCTATCTGGTATGAGACATTGGTCAAAGTGTTTAGAGAGATCATCCTGGCTTGGTGACATTTTGTTCTCTCCCTCTGAACACCAGGGACATTAAGAGTGTATCTGCTTCTACCAGTGTTGAAATGTCAGGCCTCAAAGGCAGCCAGCTTCTTCTGGTTTAGACATCATCAAAGGATGCTAGAGCCCCACCTGCTCAGATGAATGTGTCTAAGAATCAGTGACCAAGCCCAGCAGGCTCAGTTCCTTAAACCCATCTCAACAAGAACAACCATTTCCATTGGCCACAAGTCACAAGGACACATTCAAATGCCCAATGGGAACCCAGATGGGACTATTTCCCTGCTTGGAGATGTTCCTATCTTGGTCCTGTAACAAAGGATACATAGATAAGAGTATTAGCAAGGAATAAAGGATCACAAAGTAAAAGACAAGGAACTCCTCAGGCAGGATGAATCACAAAGCCATGGAAATCCAAATTCTCTTGTTTGTACCTCTCTACACAGCTCCCCAGCTGCTGCCTCTCAAAGGGAGACCCACACGGTGGGTGTAATGAGGAGGCACACCAGACAAGGGGGTGAGGGTGGAAGTGGGTGAGTGGAAAGGGTAAGCACTCCAGGACTCTCCCTAAACCCTGCTTAGTTTTCTTCTCAAGACTGATATAACACTGCAACTCCCAATCCCCATTCCCAGAGGCCCACCCACCCAGTGGCAGCTGTAGGTGCACACAGGCTTGTCTATATGATTAGGTGATTACCACCCTGAGGAGCTGGACTTCCCCTGTGGAGCTACTCACTGGATGGAGGATCTAGAACCCTGATGGGGCAGATTTATGAGCTGGCCAGAGGATCTAGAACCTTGATGGGACAGACTTAATGAGCTGACCTCATCTCCAGTAAGTGGTGGGAACAGACCACAGAACCTTCCCAGCAGCTGCAGAAGACAGCTCTTCACTGCCAGTGGCCCAGCTCTGGGCTGGATCTCGCAGATGGATCTCGTTCACCACCTGGATCAGGGTTGAGGCGTCAACTACAGATGACTCCAAACACAAATACAATTCATCTGCATCATGGATTCATTTATCCATAAGCAAGATGTGAAAATGCCTGGATATGACTTTTTCACCTTCCCCAGGAATTTTCACAGAAATCTGAATTCTTCAAATCATTCACCTTGGTGATGTGACTCTGGGGTGGAATGGGAAATGAGCAAGATTCTGAATGGAATACCCAATAAAACGAGGCACTCGACAGAAACAAGACATGAATTTGGACAGCAGTAATTTGGAGTTATCACCAATGTCAAGTTGAATCTATATGTGTATTCATATATTATATATATATATCTTTAGAAATGCAACTTTACAGCTGAATTTAAAAAAGCTAATAGAAAAGTAGAAACTGGTGGGGTTTTTTTTTTTTTTTTTTTTTTTTTTTTTTTAAACATGTTTCCCCCTTAGCCCAAATGAAGCCCTGTTAGGATGTAGCAACTACATGAAGATGAGGCTGTAGATTCCTGTACAAACTCTTTGGTTCTGTGGCTAGGGGAGGATGTGCCACCATGACCCCTAGCCCTTGACCCTTACTCCCTTTCCCTCCCCTGATGATAAGACTCTGAACATAGAAGGAACCAAGTCTAACGGTTATGAAAAACATTAAAGTGGTAAGGTAATATCATTCCCACACTCTGCTGAGCAGAGAGAAGAGAGCGTTCAGTATCCCAACATCTTATACTTGGAGTCCATGGAACCTTTTGAGAGATTCCATGTTGGGGTAGAAAGCCATAAAACAAAATTAAAGGGAATGAAAGGAAATAAATGACCCCTTTCCTTTTGTTGCTCAGAGAAACAAAATTGATTACCTTTACACAGATCAATGGCGCGATTAGTATTTTAGCCAGGCAAGAGGAGATAATGAACAGAAACAAAAGAGGTGAGAAGTCCTCTAGTCTTTGGTATTGTAGCTGTTGAGGTTTCTGTTGCTCTGCTCTGTGTTCTTTTGAAAAACTGCATAGGCACAAATTAAAGACAATCTTCAACTTTAAGATTACCGTGTGAGTTGTCAAATGAAGCAGCAGTCACAAGGTTTTCCCTAATCTTGTCTCAACCCTTTCCTTAAAATCTGCTTCCAAAAAATGTCCCAAGAGGTCTGTTTGAACACAGCAAGTCTCACTGTGTTTTCTTTTGCTTTTCTGGCGTGCTTCCTTTTTGTTGGTGGGGATTTTCCTTGATTTCTGTATTTATTCATTTTTTTTTTTTTTTTTCCTTTCCATTTTCATGGGACAGTTTGGTTTGTTGCAGACGTAGGTGCAGAAAAAGTTTCTTTGGTTTCGATTAAGTAATTCATAAAAAAGTCAGTCTCAAGTGTCTGTAAAGCAACATTGCAGCTTTTGGCTTGCTTAGAACACCCCCGGGGTGCGTGCCTGGGGCCATTCACTGGTAAATATGCACATTGGGACCTTTGCAATCTCCCAGAGTTCTGTGGGCTCTTCTGTTTGCTGGGGGAGGGTGACAGCCAGGAACCAGAGCTGGCATGGCAAAGCCCCTCTCTGTGTGGCTTGGCTCCAGTCCTTCTTACAGCCTGTCCGCTCAGCCCGCTGATGAGCCAAATGCAAGAGCTGAACGCCATTCCGAGTTGCAGAGGTTTTCTGATGTCTAAAAGTAATCACAGTATTTTTAGGCTAGAAAATGGCAAGTCATAAGTGTCTTTGGTATGCAGTCTTCTGCTTCTTTGGTGTGCTGTATTTTCTCCAGATTTATTCAGTAGGTTGGCAGGGATGTTTCAACAGTGGACAAGATTGAGGAATAGATGACAATTCGCAGTAACGTGTATGGTGGTTTGACTGGTTGTTTTTTCGTTTTTTTTGCTAGAAACACCCCTACCCATGGGATGGATGGATGAGGGGATAACCCAAATTTTAAAGAGTGAGAATAATGAGTCATGTTGTGGTCATAATGCACAGCAGGAGGAACCAGATGACGGATAAGTGAGAAGGATACAGAATGATCTAAAAAAATCTAGATCTTTTTCAAACGCTGCATTTGCTCCATGTACCGTAACAGTTAAACTGGCCTCCTGAGTGTGCGTCTGTGTCATGTGCAAACACAGAATTTGTAGCAAACTGCAAAATGTGCTTGAAGCCATATTCCCCACAATTCCCTAATGACTTCACAATCGGAGTCTTGAAAATCCAGATGCGGTGAATCCAGAACTGTTCTCTGTTTGTCTTCCTTGTGCTTGATATTTTGAGCTCAAGTGAACTGATTTGCTTTTGACGGATCCAAGACCACATGAGATTTCCAGGAGGTAAGGAAAAGAAAACTGTAAACTGGATCAACCTAAAAACTCTCCAAACCATTCAATGAAAAGATGCCTGAGTTGGAAAAAACAGGTCCTTGGGTTTTTGCTTTTTATTAGCTTCCATGGTTAAAATTTGTGCTCAGTAATTATCATTTCGATGTGTGGATTTTTTGTTTTGTTTTTCTGTTATGGCTGTGAATGTTGGTGTACTATGGTATGATGGTGCTAAACACTTGGAAAGCAAATGAGGTCATTCTCGTTGCTGGATTCTTCTCTTATTGTAGCATCTTGGGAGCCGAAACTCAGAATTCATACAGCGATCAAATTCCCACTGTAACTCATGGGAATTCTGACAGCAAGAGGGTGACAGGACTCAAAAAATGGGACTGTTGATATTTGAAGCAATCTTGAGCTTGGCTGACACCACGTCGGAATTAACTCCTTACAGAAAGGCCCCATTTGGATTTCTGGAATGCTTAGCATGCTCTGAGGACAATGGCCTGGCTCAAAGAGATTACTTTTCAGCTTGCACTTGGGACTCCATAGCCATTCAAAACAAAAAAGAACACCTGGCCTATGATCACAGCTAGAAGAGAAGTTTCTTTTTAAGAGAATTGTGCTTTCGAGTCACCAGTGAAGGGCCCCAGCTAAAAATCCGTCCGGTGTCCTTTTCCTTCGAGTTTTCTTTTGGTATCTGTTGTCCTCACGTGGAGGTGGCTTGTGCCCAACAAAAGTCCTTCCGTCACGCTTTGGTACAAGTGCTGGAGGCGGACGAGGAGCCCCCTGTGCTCAAGTCGTCTTGCCACTTCTCCAGGCTGCGGCGCCGGGCGTTCATGAAGAAGTTGCTGACAGTGGTGAGCTCTAGACCCAGTTGCTGAGAGATGGTGATCTGCATCTCCTTGGATGGGCGCTTGTTCTCCTTGAAGATGGCAAAGAGTGTTCGGCGTTGGAGGTCGGTGAAAACCAGGCGGGATTTCTTCTGGGAATTGTTCCTGTCTTTGTTTGGTTCTTGCTCTTTGCGCTTGCATGCTTGAAGGGAAAGAGAAGAAAGTGGAGTCAGTGCAAGGTTTCAGGACCCACACCCAAGACACTGATCCAGGGACACCACTGACTAGAGTCCTACAAGGGAACATAAACCATTCAACTTTATTGTGCAAATTGCCCATCTGTTAATAGCTGGCCGTCCCAGTTCAGCTCCTGCTGATGGAATGGACCCACTGGTGGGGTCAGGGAGAAAAGAGAAAATAGCAGGGCTGTCTGACATTGCCTAATTGTGAACCAAATGCCACCAATCATTCTCTCGATCCCCCTGCCCCAACACACTCTTCAGAGTCTTTGTCCCTGAAATCAGGTGCTAAGAGGATAGTGGTGACTCCTGGGTCTCCAGGGGGGATGTCTGGTTAGACAGCCCCTGTTTCAGCTCAGCTGAAATGACCTTCTGAGGTCAAAACTTAAAAATGCATAACCAAAACAAAATCCAAATCCATAGCCAACGAGTTGATTAGGACTCTCAGTGGCCCTTAGGACAGAGTAGAATGGCCTCACTGGGTTTCCAAAGCTGCCACCTTTACAGAAGCAGACTGCCACACCTTTCTCCTATGGAATGGTTGGTGGGTTCGAACCCCAACCTTTGGGTTAGCAGCCAAGCTCTTAGCCACTGCACCATTAGGGATCCTTTTAAAAGTGAGTAATTTTTCAAAATCAGAGCTTCTACCCACGTGACTCTGAAAACTGTCAACAGAATGCAATGAGAAGTGACAGAATGATGGTGACATCCCAACCCAAACCCTTTTCTTGGAAAGAAAAAGAGTCGGGGGCAGAGCAAGACTAGGAAAAGGGGGGTTTAAACCTGCTGCCAATAAGCAGATGCCAACTCACGGTGACCGTACAGGACAGAGGAGAACTGCCCCACAGGGTTTCCCAGGCTACAGTCTCATGGAGTGGCTCATGGGTTCGAATCACCAACCTTTTGGCTCACAGCTGAGAGCTTAACCACTAAGCCACCAGAGCTTTTTAAGGGATGGTCTACCAAATTCTAATTTGGCCAATTTGAAGAGAAGCCGGTACAGAAGACATTGGGCAAGGGAAGGAAGTCCAAAGTTACAATGAAAGACCCTCAGGGTCCTGATGCCAATGAGGAGGTATAGAGGCTGTTTGATTTAGTAGGCATGTGTCTCTACACCTGGAAAGACAGATGCATATAGGACATTAATTTATGTGCCTTGGAGTCCCAAGAGGTACAAATGGTCCACAAGGTTGGGTGCTAATTGAAAACTTAGAGGTTTGAATCTGCCCACACATAACTCTAAAGAAACTCATGGTGATTTACTTCTGAAAAACTAGCTATAGATACTCTATGGAGCACAGTTCTACTTTGACCTATACGGGGTCACTATGAGTGAGGCTCCACCTGACAGCAAGGTCTGCTGTAGATGCAGAGAAAGAATCCAGTTCTCCAGACCCTCCACCTTCTACGGAAATGGCACCCACACCCAAGGGGGGCTTTTGGCAGAGCAGCTCTGGGGCTCCGTTCCTGGACATTCTGATTGTCACGTGGGAGCCATGGTACTGGAATCTGTGCTTTTTAGAACCTCAAGACATTCTGAAAAGGGGAACCAGTGTGTTTGGCCACATCGCTACTTCTGGTTTCTGGCCCAACCTCCTGAGTTGTTCAGGTGCCAACCTTCATCTGGAAGATTCTGAATGAACTCCAGTCCCTGATACTCTCCTGATAAATAAGTGTAGGCACAGACCTTCTGTAATCATGGCTCATGTTTTCTCAGTTCAGGCTTCTTGGGCTTAATCATCCCACCGCTGTTGAGGCGATTCCTACTAATAGCAACCTAAGGGCAGTGATCTCTACGGAAGCAGATGGCCTCATCTGTCTCTCATGGAGCAGCTGGTGGGTTTGAACTGCTGACCTTTTGGTTAGCAGCCCAACGCTTAACCCACTGTACCACTAGGGCTCCAATTGTTAAGTGCCATCCAGTTGGTTCTGACTCATAGCGACCCTGTATAGGGTTTTCTGAAGAGCAGCTGGTGAATCTGAACCACTGACCTTGTGGTTCGCAACCCAGTGCTGATCCTACAGCGCTACACACTAATATTGCTTATTCATCCGATGATGCTGTATTTGTACCTCCCACAGGGCGTTTGGACAGTGCTGGGTGAAGGTCTGTACTGGTTTTTTAGGCATCTGTGTAGCACACACCCATATTACTGATGGTCTTGTGTGCCATTGAGTCAATTCTGACTATTTAACACTACAAGACAGAGTAGAAATACACCACAGGGCAGAGTAGAAATACACCACAGGGCAAAGTAGAAATACACCACAGGGCTTCAAGGATACACTCTATAGGAGCAGGCTACTATAGCTTTCCTCCATGGAGTGGCTGCTGGGTTTGAAGGTGGTGAAGGTGGAAACAAAAGAGACGGTGGGGAACCCAGAAGGGGCTGTCTGCCAGTTGCTTCCCTGGGAGCTCACAGCTGGATCCAGGCTGCAGGGTCCCCAGGTGTATGTGCGTGGTGGAGGTGTGTGTATAGGTATGTGTGTCGTGGAGGTGTGTGTGTAGGTTATGTGTGTGTAGGTATATGTGTGGCGGAGGTATGTGTGCATGTATGTGTGTATGGTGGAAGGATATGTGTGTATAGGTATGTGTGTGGGGTTGAGGTATGTGTATGTGTAGGTATGTATGTATGTAGGTATGTGTGTGTGTGGTGGAGGTGTGTGCACAGGTGTGTGTGTGTTGGATGTATTGTGAGTGTAGGTGTGTGTTTGGTGAATGTGTATGTGTGTGCAGTGAATATGTGTAAGTATGGTGGAGGTGTGTGCATTGTCTGGTGTGAGTAAGATGGAGGTGTGTGCGTTGTCTGGTGTGAGTAAGATGGAGTTGTGTGTGGTGGAAGTATGTATGAATGTGTGGGTAGAGTGGCGACGTGTAGGCCAAGGGGACAGTACCTGGTTGTGTCTGTGATGCAGATACAAGCCCAGAGTCATCCTGAAAACCCACCTCACCGCAACACCTGGTCCCCGAGGTGCAATAGCTTTAGCTCTTGAGCTACTTGAACATTCTTACTCCATGGTTGAAGCTGATCACAGTCACACAGCTTTAGAGTTCTGGGCTGTCAGCTTACAGATGGGGAACCAGCAGCCCAGGGAAGCGGAGTGCCTTCCATGGGGCACAGCCAGGCAGCTGGACCATCAGATGGATGCTAAGATCTGGGCCCCTGACAGGACTTTCTCCCACAGGAAAGGGGACCAGAAGTATTGATTTCCACTGCACAGTTGATGGTGCTGTGAGTTGTTTAGGGTGATAGAACTAGCACTAGGGCCTGAACTTGGACACGGGGACACAAGTCCACCTCCCTAGGTCCTGCAGGAAGCCGTGAAGCAAACGTGATCTGACATGGGGTCAGAACTTCAGTTCTACCTGCTCTACAGCCCAAACGCCCCCACAAGTTGGATTTTGCTCTGTGAATTCAGAACCATCTAGAACTATCTTTTCTGTATTTGGCTGAACCTTCTCATTTGTTTTTGGGGAATTCAACCTGATGGTTTATCACAGAATTATTAGTACTGGAAGTGTATTTTGGGCCTAATTTGACAAGGTGATCTGCTAATTTGACAAGGAGTGAAAACGGCTAATGTAAATTAATTATAAACCCGTACTAATTAACCTATCCACCACTCGTCTGTCAGTTTGTCGAACTGTGGTGGCTTGTGAGTTGCTGTGGTTCTGAAAGCTATGCCACCGGTATTTTAAATACCAGCAGGGTCACTCATGGTATTTAAAATACCATGGTTTATTTAAAATACCATGGACAGGTTTCAAATGAGCTTCCAGACAAGGATAGACGAAGAAGAAAGAGTGAGGTTGGCCCAGGATCGGGCAGTGTTTCGTTCTGCTGTGCATAAGGTTGCTATGGGTTGGTACCGACTCGATGGCACCTAACAACAACAACAACAATTAACCTATAGCCAAGATTTGAGAATGGTAGTCCTTATTTGTAGTTTTATTCATTATTTTTCTGCGGTAACTTAATGGCGGTGAAAAGTAACGTGGATAAGGGTGGGGCAGTATCCCACCAGACCTAAGTCCAAAGTCTCGCTCTGCTGTGTGAACTCAGCACTTGACACCTTGGCCTCCCTGGGACTTCACTTTCTTGATGGTGATTGGACTGGAAATGATCATCCAGGTTTCTTCCAATTGCGTCATCAATTGGCCTTCCATGGTCCTGTCCCTTGTTGGTACAATTTTACTTTGTTTCCTGAATGAAAGGCAAACACTGTCTTCCTCGGTGACACCTTCTCTCATCTCTCCTCCACCAGGCGGAAGAACCAAGGAAACTGTAGGCTGTTGTCACACATAACCCATTCTAACTTTGAGATGCCATGCTGGCAAATGCCTCTTCAAGGATCTTTACCCTATCTACCAAGGAGCCCTGGTGGCACAACAGTTAAGCACTTGGCTGCTAATCAAAAATCTGGTGGTTGGAACCCAATCCGGAGGTTCTGCAGGAGAAAGACTTGGAACTCTACTCCCATGAAGAGTATAGCCAAGCAAATCCTATCCGTAGTTCTACTCTGCCACATTGGGTCACACTTTGTCTGAGTTGACAACCACCTTCTATCTACCCAGTCTAGAACAGAATCAGAAATTCTCGCCCCTCCCAAGAGCCACAGCGATGGATTAGACATACTGAGCATCATGAAGATGCAGAGGACCGGGCAATGTTTGCTTCTGCTTCATATAAGGTCATAGGAGACAGAGCCCACTCCACACCAGCTAATAACAACTCCCCTCCCAGGCTGTGAACTCCAGGGTCTATGAAGAGGGATCTTTAATCCCAAGGTCCTTCCTACTGCCTAGCTATGGTCCCAGTGAGGGCACATGATGTGTGTGTGAAGGAAGAGACCTGGACAGCCACCCAGTGCACATTCAAAGGAGGTTCATGGCATCTGATCTGGTCTATCAGCCTCCTTTGTTTGCCCCCTTGATTTCTAACCCCCTGTCTCTTGTTTCTTC